TGTACATTAATACATCGACATGTTATTAATGTAGAATAACGTAATCAATGCATCAGCATGCCAGTACGACAAAATCTACCAATATATATATATATATATATATATATATATATATATATATATATATATATCGATACTTATTTCTACCAATTACCTAGTAGCTGCCATCATACATTACCTGTCTCGCGTGTCTCTGCTCTAATTCAATGCGATATCAAGAAAATCCATGAGCAAACACATTCGGTTGCACACATAAGCGTTGTCTGTCCATGCACTCATGCAGCTCAGTCAACTGCCTATACGGCCGCTATCACGTGCGGTGTTGCATGCATGCATGTGCGCCTACGCAGCACGGCGCGTTGACGCTAACGAACGACTGCAGACTGGTGCGGTCTAAGATGAGGATGATACGAAAGGAAGCGGACGCTCAAATATCATGAAAGCATCCCAATCAGAACCGAGTGTTTTACCGGGCGTCCACGCCAGAGCCGCCCTGGCTGTTTTCCCTTGGCCGGCGCCGTAATTTAACCCAGCGACAGTATAGAGTGAATGCCTGCCTGGTCTCCACTACAGCAGAAGAAAGTAAACATTTACAACAGATACCCTAATGGTTGTTTTGAAAATATGCGCCTCATTAGCGAGCGGAGAAAAAGTTGTGTACAGTCTAATCATTGGGGGACATGTGATTCGATGAAGCCGTAGGAGAATGAGGCCGGCTTCCACGCGGCAGGCGGCGCCCCGGCTGACCCTGGTCATCGCGCGCGGTCATCTCCCCGGCTACTCGGCCAACAAGGCACTAACGCGTCAATAAGCACAAGCCTGCGCTCGATATTGGTCTTCTTAAGCAAAACCTCATTCCGTGTTAGTGTGATGACGATTAGAATAGACTCGCATAGAGACCTAAACAGCCGTGAACTTCTTAAAGGACATGTGCTTAATAGTTACACTGGTAGCCACTGATCGCCATGTTTACCTAGGTGCGATAAAACCCGCACGAGGCAGTAATTTAACAACACTCAGGCGCTCACGACGACGCACCCGTTACGCCCACTGCGCAGCGCACACGCACGCCACGCACCGCCACAAGCACGCACGCACGCACGCACGCACGCACGCACGCACGCACGCACGCACACACACACACACACACACACACACACACACCAAAACCGTGACGGGTTAAGGACTAATTAGTTTATTTTAAGAGAATACGCAGATAAGAGAGTATACGTCATTCAGAAGTGTGCCATAATTGAGTTCCGCGTTTAGTCACTGGAAATATATAACGAATCATTGCTCCGAATCTATTTCTGGTTGCAGACAGGGCACTACCCATTCATAAATGCCGCATGTCACGTCACTCTATCCACCCTAATAATAAGTGTTCAGACCAGCATCCCTGCAGCTTACCTACCAATTAGCTGCCTCTTTGTCCTAGCTGGCGTCCACAATTGGGAAGAGCTAACAAGCATAAGTCACAAGTACGCTCACTTACAAAGCTACTGCTTAGCACGAACAGGCTGCGTGAACCATAGTCTCACATCAACCTGTTGATTGACTTCAATTAGCCTCAATTAATTATCGTGATGCAAATTTTAATTTTAAACTGGTACCGACCGAACTACTATACACGATAGCAATAAAATATGTGTAATCAGTCAAGGCTTGAATATTACATAATAATATATCTGTGTCTTTATGGTAACATAATTTTCTAATCTTATCACCAATTAACCTTATTAATGTTAATCTAAATAAAATTTGTATTATTACTGTTCTGCCAAAAATTCCGTAAAACCTCTGTATTCTGTAAATCGTGCTTTCCCTACTTTCCAGCGCGTCAAATATCGTATGCAGGTGTTTCACGGCCTTGTTGGTCTGACAATAGTAAGCTTTTATCAAAGAACGCACAAAAGAAAAACCCCCAGTCAAATGCCAGGTGCTTTGAATTACCGATTTCTTCAGAATCACTGACCAATCATGAGCGATGCCGTGGAATATCAGCTTTCACATTTAAATTATTTCACTGACCCTTGATTCGTGAATGCTTCTAGACAGCAGAGCAGATCCGCACGTGTTCAGAGAGTAGCAAACGGCAGGCGATAACGCCACGTATAATTTTACCGTCATGACATCACATCAATGGAGAACCCAGCCGAAGTGTGGCAGTGGTAATACAGCGTGAAAGCTCCCACTGTTTAACCCTTTTGTACTGTAAATAGGGCCATGATTTGCCTATATCGCCCGACGGGGATTGAATATCGCCTCACAAAGGGAGATGTAAAAGTGGGACAGAAATGGCCGGTCGACAGTTGCCGGCTGGCTGGCAGTTGCTTGCACCTGGCTACCAAGATACCTGTCAGCTAGGACAGCTTCCGAAGACGGCTTGCCTCTTCATCTAATACCCACGAAAACCGGAACTTTACTCCTAGCTTAGCGACTCGGTGGAAAACGCTTTTTAAACAAACAGTTATAGTTAGCAGGATATGCCCAACTACAGCCTTTGTTGAATGCAACTGGTCAGGGTTACTCTGCCAAAAATTGTCACGTGTATCTGCATCTACGTCTGCATGGCCACGTCATTGCATGAGCAGATTTTACACGTGAAATACAACTCGATATACAACTCAATTCATTTCATTTCAATATACAACTCAAGCGATGTACCGTCTATCTTGAATTTTCACTACAGAATTTAAAAAACACATGTTTCATGCCTTGATACACAATATACCCTGGGCAACTTTCTAAAAAGAATGTTAAGCAGCCAACATCCTACCATAAAACTACATGTATATTAACTTCACGATATATTTCATAATATCATATTTATTAAAATTCAGTGGTTACCATATTTGGATTTATATGCAAAGTTAGATAATTACTGAAAAAGAAATGTTTCTCCGTACATAAAAGGATCCCGCTAAAATATTCTTTCAACTTCGGATTTTTTCAAACTTTGCATTGTTTTGGCACTTTCAGCTTTCTGCTTGTGTTTGGTGTACCCTAGCTTATGTATATGGTTTATATTTCTGTATCTGCATTGATGAAATGAACTATATTTTTTATAACAGATTCTCATGTGTGGCTAATAAATTGGCTGAAAAGCCCAACATCCTATTCTAATATTACAACTAGTAACCAATTCAGGGCATGCCATCAGGCACTACCTGACATCAGCTAGGAATTTCCTTTTTATTACTTTATCTCTTTATGACATGTACTTTTATTATATTTTGATAAATAATGAACAGTTTATATTCCATAAAACCCAATTTACTCTCAAATTACAACCCTTTTCCACGACCACCACAGACACCTATATTTCTGTAACAAGTATGATCAACGGTATTATTTCAAAGTCCTGTGTATATTACAAGAAAAGGGATAAATGTTATGTAATGTTACGCAATCAATACATTTTCAGCAGTTTTCTAGGCAATTGCTATATATTTCGCTCTCAAATCAATATTAGTGGGATGGCAGTACCCGTTTATTTATTTAATTACGATAATTATTGTTATCCTTGTAATAACTACATTCGTTTTTAGTTATTATTATTCAATACCTTACGAATGTGTTACACTCATCCTGCGTAAGATTTATGCATTTTTACATGCTACCCCCACTAACTCAGTTTGGTTGATCCTTAGAAACCGTGCCTATATATGCAAATGCATGTGCGTATAAAATATACATGTACTCGTGTCTATGGATTTGTAATGCGCACATGTAGCGCTCATTGGCTGTAAAGCTGATTTATTATAAATGCATGTGGCAAAGATAAGCTCAGTTATAATACACCACTCACTTAATTTTGTATTTATTACACGGTTTGTTCTGCACATAAAATGTCATAGCCTACCAAAAAGCAAAAAAAAGTGTAAAGGAACAATGGTGCTTGACTGACTTCGCAGTTGAACACACTGCATGCACCCAAATGTTACAAATTGCCAATGCTATTGACAATTTCAATATCGCCAGGTAATTATCGCACGCTACGATCCATGTCGTTGGCCATGCTCAGTGCTGATGCGCCCATATGTGACAGATGTCACCCTGCTGACGCTATAACGTGTCGCGACCCAGACATGTATTCGCACTGCTGCTTGAAAATGTCATAATTATGTTTCATACATAAATTATTCAATGGTAATTCACGTCACACTTTAGAATACTACAGCGTAGAGGCAATGAAGCGAATATTTATGGGACTCGAATTGTATCAAATACAAAATAGGACTTCTCTCGCGCCACTCACAATTTCACAAAATGTGAGTGTGGTGAATAAAATACAGCACATGCGTACGTGCGTACGTGCGTGCGCGAGTGTATACATGTGTTGCGACAGCACGTACAGACCGACGAATGCAGTTACCTCGCTACCCTCACTGTCATTGAAAGATACAATACTATTGCAAGTTTTAACTATATAGAGCAGTCTCTAACAACACAGAAAGGGGAATTACGTCATACCATCAACCTATTCTATTACTCCTATTAATTAATCACTTAGCCAAGTTACAACCACAAGTAATTAAATTACACTAAATGGACCAGCTTATTCCAACGACTTATTTATTGGCAAAGGTGAATTTTGGCGATAAAATGGAGTGCCGATAAACGACACGATTAGCGTAGACACGGTGAACAACAGCCGCCACATGAACCTTTATAACCTATATCGAAGCTACTGGATGCGTATGAAACCGAGATTTCCTAGCAAGCTCTACGTACAGCACTGTCGTTACTTCTACGTCGTTGTGATACGTGTGCACCTCTACTTGTACGCGAATTGACAACATGTATGTTCAGTAAATACAAGAAAGGCAACGCAACGAAACGCATCGAATCGCACGATTTGTTTCCTACCAAATTCAACTGGTTAACTTTATTCATGGACAAAAGCTGTAACAGACGTTGACCATGGAACAAACAGTCTTATTCGCGAAGCACAAATGAACACTTAGATGCTAAAAACGCATGAAAATACGACTTACTCTGCTCGAATTTCCTGGCTTTTCCCTTGGACCGCATTACTACGTGCATCGCTTGCAGCGAACTGAATTTCGGAGATGCAACGTACATATACCTAAGCGCATGCGTACTGCGCGTCGCGGCAAAGTTCGTCACAGGCGCACCGATTGCCGGATGATAGATCAATCAGCGCGCTTGAAAATGTCTTCGCGTTTTCCTTATCACAACAATATCTGCAATGGAGGGGTGAAATTCAGAGCGAGAGAGAAGGGGAGATAGAGGGAGAGAGTGTGCGTGACAGTGAGAGCAATGGAGGGTGGAAGGAAAGCGTAATGTAGAGAGAGTAAGAAAGAAGGGGGAAGAGTGTGTATTCATTTGTGTGCTCGTGGGCATGTACGAGCGTTTGTGCTTGCATGCGATGCGGTGCGATGTAGTTATACGCGCGTGCGTATGGGCGCTGTGTACGTGTGCGTGTGTACGTGCCTGCGTGTGTGTGCGTGCGTGTGCGCGCGCGCGTGTGCGCGCGTGTGTGTGTATGTATGTATGTATATATATATATATGTGTGTGTGTGTGTGTGTGTGTCGCTGTGTGTGTCGTGCGTGTGGCTGTGCGCTCTGTGGTGTGTGTGTGTGTGTGTGTGTGTGTGTGTGTGTGTGTGTGTGTGTGTGTGTGTGTGTGTGTGTGTGTGTGTGTGTGTGTGTGCGTGTGTGTGCGTGTGTTTGTGCGTGCGTGCGTGCGTGCGTGTGTGTGTACTGTTGCATATTGTGTGTAAGCGATAAAGTACGAGAGAGTAGAGACTTAGAGACCTGACATACGTTGTAGAGTAAGAGCAAAGGAAAACGGTAAAGAATGACAGCGGGTGGAATCTGTAAAAGAGTAACGTAATTAAGTTAGAACAACTAAAATTACTATAGCGAGCTATGGCGCTAAATTACCTGCTAGGCTAAATACCCCTAGCACATTATTCGAACTTTTAGTTGAAAATGCAAAATGTTGTAACTATTTATGTTTACGATCGTGTTTAAATTCGCAGCTGTTACTGTTACTAGGTTTGTCATATTTTCATTGTTTGTGTTCTGATAACAAGAATGTTTTAAATGAGGTGAGGGTGGCGACAGAAATGTTAGTTTTCAAGTCAAGTTTATTAGAAACATCGCGTACAAAATACGAACGTCACGATGTGGCCCCGCCCTATTTTAGCAGCTAAAACATGTATATGCCTGCATGAATTGTTCACATTTGTTCAAACCATTCATCCGAAACATATTGGAGATTAGAAAGTAACGCCTAATGTAAAAAAAAGAGAGCGCATTATGTCTATTTCTGCTCTTGGAAAGTCGCTTGTTCTTATTTCTATTAAGCTTTAAATTATTAGTGCACTTTGTCCTCTATATGCGATGACACGTGGCTAAATTATGCATGCAAACGTGCGAGGAGCGCAATGCATCACGGACTACGTGACCCGACGCGAACACATAAAACGCGTCTGTTCCAGGCTGCTGGCTGCACACAATGTCTCCATAAAACGTCCGTAATTGTTTTCGTGTCGGCTTGACAATAACACTGACATTAACATTGTGTCACGGTGGCTTTTCGCAGCGATGAACTTCAATCGTGATAACAATTATACGCGCATGCGTATACGATCTTTCACTGGTTTAGTTTTCTAACTCGTGTACATCGATGACGCTATAGTAAAACAACAATCTGTCGCTGGCGCAGGTTTGGAAGCTATAATGCCCCATGAAGAAAAAAAAACGTCAATAGTCTACTTAAAAGTAGCAAGTGCAGCGCAAGTTAAACGCACTAGCTAGCTATGCGTGCGCAGCTACACTCTACATTAACCGCCGTGTATCGTAATGGCGATATATTGCGTGCAAGAAAAACCACGGTGACGATGCATGGCAAGCAACTTTCAAATGAGCACATTTCGTGTTGTTTCTCCTTCATGCGCCCATGCAAGAGCCGATTGGCCAAATAATATTGTCGAAGCCATCAAGGTAAAGCCGTCGTCTGCGATGACTGCGCGGGAGGAATCGACTATTCATTGAGCACTCGACTCGCTAACGATCAAGAGCACGTGTCACCAGGTAGATATGCACTTCTCGTGTACTGCAAATGGCCCGCCTTGCCATTAGATATCGCACAATGCATCATGAAAGACATAATAGCCCGGTCGATAATGTAATTGCCTATGTCTGACAATGCTAAAATTGAACGCCGAGATCTTAGATCGATGAATACATGCCGGCGTGCGGCGGCAATGGTTCGCAGCATGAGCGACCGACCGCGTAGCCAGCCAGCCAGCCAACGTCGTTCAATGTAGACAGAAATCGCCACCCGAATAAAACACACATCGACATAATACTAACATAGACATTGGACAACAGACGTACGCGCGAAAAGGTTAATTATTGCACGCTCACTGCCTTGCGAAAAGCATTATGTACATATTATAATATCGCGAGGCTCGTTTTCCAATATGACAACCTGAGAAAAAGCCATTTTCGTCAAGCTAATATTGTAATGAAAATATATGTGACCGATGAATATACGTCTTTAATTATTTTTAGCGTATAATTGCGTTTATAGCGATGGGCTGAATCTAGCAAACATGCCCGGGGAAGAGGTAGACAGACGTGTTTAAAAATCCAGACGTGAGAACGTACGTACGTTGTATAACGCTCGACCAATTTATGTCAAGCAACGATGTAATCATTCTGCATGTTTGGTGGCTTTTAATTATTTATTCGTCGTTCGTCAGGTTACACTCACCCATCACGCCCGGCATGTGCGACTATACGCCTAGCACTAACGCTTATGCTCGTCGCTCAGTCCTATAGGAATGGCGTGTTGGTGCGTAGCAATACGTCTCGCGATATCCGGGTAAACGTTCCACGAGGTGGCAAGCGAAGGTGGTCTTTACGGAAGACAGATATTCTCGACTGGTTGGAGAAACGCGACGAAGCCCACTGCAATTGAATGGCTTTCTTTCGTAGAATTTGTACGCTTACTGGCGCCGCATCGACGCCTCTCTCGCTTAAATATGCATATCGAGCAGATCGGTGCACCGCCCCCATCTGGTACGCCTGTCCGACCCATAAACAGACGCCACCATACCCAGAAAGCAAAACAAGCAAATGCATAATAACGATAAATAGCTACAGAATAAAGGCAAGCAAGTGCCCGCGTGCAGGTACAAAAAAAAAAGAGAAATCCACGTGGAAAGAAATAAACCAGGGAAAGACGAGAATAACATCAAATACACACCCGGCGCCGTAGACCGGCCTGATTTGACTATAGTAGACGAGCTAACATTGAAGAGTACAGGCGTGCGTAAGGTAAACAAGGCGGCGGCGTCTCTTTATGATAATAGATCATTATCCGTGTATCTATGTGCATAGCCTTAACGCGCACGCTTCGCATCATAACACGTACTATAACCTCATAACTTACACGCGACAACAGATAAGAAAGCGTAGATCAGAAGCAATCGGTTTGCCGCGCTCGTAATTCTGTTTCTACGCAATAATCAGCAGCTGCGCGGCGAAGGAAAATAGTTAGCTTGGCCATATGGGTGGCACAGCCCTTGACAAGGACCGCAGAGCAATAACATTCGCGCGGACACGCAGACGTGGAATGCATCCGACAAAAGCTCATCTTGTTATAGACGATGTGCGGAGCCAAAACATAACGTGAGGCTGAGCAAAAACAAAAATAGGAGCGCGACGGTACCCATTAAAAACGTGTTAATAGTGAAACGGTGGTCCGTTATAGGACCAATTATTAGACACGGGGAAAAGATCAGCGGAGGTCACTTTGGTCCCTGGATACTCGCAGCTAGCCGGTATGCCAGGAGCGAGAAGGCGATGGTCGACTGATACACGCAAAAAAACGTATATAGTCTCCTTATCTTACGCGCATCTCGTCTTCGGGGCGCTATCGCAAACAATCGCAGGTGTTCGACGAGTAACGAGTCCAAAATACACGCGCGGACGAGTCACGTAGACTCGCTGCTAACGTTTGCGAAGATCCGCGCTTCGTGTTCGTGACGGAGCGCTATCCTATTTGCCGACGAATGCTCACGAACACGCGAGCTGTCTGCTTGGGTGATTACGATTGGCTAGCGGAGCGACAGTGGGCACGCCTCTCTGCTCATCCTTGCGCATCAGACGCATCCAATAAGGACACTGGCGCGTGTCATCGCGCTATCTGTTGCTCGCATCGGCTGCTAGCACGAGGCGAGCTAGACGCCCAATCAAACCGCAAGAAATGAACAGCGTCAGCGAAGTTCTTCTACTGCCGCGACCGCAGCAGAAGAAGCGCCGATGCACGCGGTACGACTGCCATCTACGATGAGTAATGAAGTAAGAATGATGTAAAGCGAATAATTCCCGCATTGCGGCATCCTAAGAAAAATATTATATAGCGAAGACGCGTAAAAAGCAATCGGACCTGTAGACGCGCGAAAGGGGATACGATATAGTAATAAGAGGGAGAGATGTGGGGGCAACGATGACAGGGAATGATTAGCTGATAGGGTTTGTTAGAAATACGAGAGCAATTGCTCTCTTAACGGTTAATAGGCATGTTATTAAAGACACGGAGACAGATAGAACGACGTGTTTAGTCGTCGTCGACGCGTTGACTTGAAGCCGCCAATCCTTTATGATTTAGGACGGCAGTTGGACGTGCTACGCATCCATGTTTGTTTTCAGTTCTGGTCCTTGGCAATAAACCTGTTCTCTATTAGAGGAGCCAGGCGTTTGCTAATAGCTGCTGATGGCTCGGTGGAAATAGCTGGACAAACAAACAATTTAGTTAGATAAACGGCGAAGGGAAGTATACAGACGATTTCGGCCGATACGCCTAGCATCAAATGTAGGCGCGAGCAAGCAACATAGCGGTCGCAGTTGCTAACAAGACACATGCCAGCGGAGATCAGGACACAGACCAGTGATAACAAAAACGGATATATATACATATACATATATATATATATACATAGGCCCACTTGTTTCGGTGGAGCCCTCTTTCAGTCCTCAATACCATCGGAGTACTGCGTTTATTTATACAAGAAAACAAGCCGGTCAGCTACTTTTTCACATATAACGCAGGCGTGTAGATTGTGTGGCAGAAAATTTGCGTGGATATTTTAAATTCTTTCTATTTGCTAACGAATGTAAATCCATAATAATTATTAATATATAATAGTTTGTATCGTTACTATAAGGGCATATTTTTCGCATTGCGAGTAATCCAGTCTATATGTGAGTTTAATATAAATGTAATTTTTTAATTTGTAAAATTCACTATAGTTCTTCCATAGGGTGCTACCTACGTTCGTTCCTACCCTATTGTTTCAGTACTTCTCAACTTGGCTGTCGTGGGACGTGCGCATGTACGTGGGTGGGTATGTGTGTTTGTGTGCCCGCGCGTGGGTATGTGTGTTTGTGTGCGCGCACGTGGGTATGTGTGTTTGTGTGCGCGCGCGTGCGTAGGTGATTGCTAATGAGTGCCACGTACGCCTTGTCAATCTAAATCTAAATTTAGATATGATGGTCTTATTCTGCTTGTCGATTCATTATCGTGGAAATAGAGAATTTATCCTAAAGGATTTTCGTGATGTAATTGTAATTTTCGAGCATTTGTATGAGTTTCACCACAAGTTTACATGTTATTTTACGTTTTAATCCCCCAGCGTCACGAGTTGCGTAATAATAGCTACAGATTACAAGCGACGCGCTGATGGCCTATAGACGCTCGCAGTGAAGCAGCGCAACGCTAGGTGCTGGAGACTGTACATCTGACCGAAAATCCGCCATTACTGTCAGGTGTAACTGACAACGTACCGCGTCAGAAGGGACACGTAGGTGATAGATGGACCTTAAACTAACACAAACCACAGCTGCGTTTTGTGTTTGTAACCGGCGTGTTTGTCATACGCTTTACGATGACGAACAGGCGCAGAAAATCCTGAAATATTGTTTGCATTCTTCTCGCAACTGTAAATATTCCATCCGTCTGTGCGCTATATATGTGAACAGATCACAAGCAATCCCTATATGCAACCATGACACACAAATGAGGACGCGCACGCGTTCGCACACAAACATGTGTGCTCGCACGCATATTCGCTATATGAAATTAAATTTTATTAAATTATAAGGGACGTTATACTAGCTATCACGAATTTTCTTAAGAATACGTATTCATAATCGCAGCGCAGTTCGACGATTTCATCGACGCTGTACACTTCCTGAAACTTGTCTCGCCTGTAGGCCTGCAGTGTTTGGCACATCAACTCTGATACAGTAGGTGTCTACATGCATGCAGAAGCCACCTCTGTGACTGCCCGCGGTAGCGTCAGATGGAGATGACAGCAGGCTTACTACGCAACGCAGTGCGCCCTGATAAATGCTGCCTGAATCAACAGAAGCCGGCGTTGTCTGTGTTGTGCATTGCCTGATGAGTGCGCCATGCTGCGCACCTCCGTATCTGTCCTTGTACTTGCAGAGTACCTCTCAAACGTTGCTAATCCGTTGCTTGCCTTCTCCGCACACTGCTTCCTTACTGCTTGCGTTCTCCGTACTTTTTTTTATTATTCGTATCATGTCGGTAACTAATACGTATAACTTCCATACTACGTTCATGTTTTATGAACGTCTGTTAATTAATAATACAAGTTTCTCTACCTGCTGTTCCTATACCTGCTACATTATTTATTTATATTTTTTATAATTTCTTTTGCGCTACTACAATAGTAAACCTGTAAAGAACAAGTTGCTATGTATATATATATATAACTTGTATTATACGTGTAGCAGAGTTATCACATTGCAAATGCAAATGTGTATCCCTGTGTGATGTAGTTCTATCAGTGTAGCGTGTGGAACATGCCCATGTACTTACTGTATATCATCGTGAACGTGAACGCTAAAGCATCTGAAGCTTCGCCTTTATTGCGGACGTGATAAAGGCCAGTCTAGGCTTCACGCTGCATCTTGGCAACGGGAGGCTGAGTCGCCCCGTGTAATGAAGCCGTTTATAAGACAAGAGTAAACAGAGAGACAGGAAAACGCAGCGGCATTACGATTATCGCTGATATCCTCAAACACCGGCAACAATTTATTAGCAAGAATCAAACATAATTAGAGAGAGTAACTGATAACGACAACGGACAGGCAATGACAGATCTTACGCGGGGGTAGGGTGAGCGTTAAAGCTGAACCGTCATCAGCTAGCAATCAGAACGGTGTTCACTGCAGCTGCAGCTGATCGACTTTGTGGAAGAAATTCGCACTGTACGCTTATTGAAACGTACTCATTAATACGTGTTTTTTTTTAACGAAAAGATAGGCTTTCGGGATTACCATATATAGCTTGCACAACGTCGTTCCCACGTTGCATAATAATTGCATAGGACAAAAACGCGCGCAGGTAAAAATATCTATGCTTGTGCTGCCATTGTGATGCCGGCTTTGTTATGGATTCATTACACGTTTCGTTCAGCTCAGATATTCCGAGGTTTGGTCGGTAACCGTGACAACACATCTCTGCTGGCGGCAGACTGGCTTGACGTGTAAACACGTTTTAATTAGAGGACAGTATATTTGCCCAGGTAGAGAACGAAGCCATCTGCTTCATGCCATCTCCTTCACAGCAGCAGTGCTCTTCCTATTTACTCTAGCCGATAATTAATACAGGAAAGGGCATATTTCCACCTCTGTAAATATCATACGTGCCCCTCGGACGATATGTATGCGTGCGGGGGGGGGGGGTACTGGTTTCAATGAACTGGCACCTGTAAAGGTGGCATGAGAGGACAGCACGTACTGTGTAGATTTAGACAAGCTACTGGATTACTACAGAATATATAAATGAAAAGAATATGATAACGACATGTCAGTCTTTTTCATTCATAAGTGCTATAATAAGTATATGTAGTTACAGTTACACTTGTTCGATGGTTTATAGTGGCATGCAGTCACTCACTAGATAGCTTACAAGTACATCACTATGCATCCATGCACACCACAGTTCAACCAGCATACCTCCAACTGTGCAAAGTGCACGAGCGAGATCAGCTAGCAGATCCTGATGAAGTGTATTAACCATTGCACACAGTAACAAGGAAGCAGGTTGAAGCCGATTGCAATGCTGGGTGCATTTTTTCAATGATACTCTTAATAAGTATGCAATTTTTCAGCAAATATACATACGTCCCTGCATAATCACTGTGTATTATATTGTGTATACATTGTATATGTGTGGAAAAATCGTAGATACCCATAACAGTACGTACATCATGAGTAGGAGTGAGAATTCAACTACAAAACTCAAATTGATGCAAAATTAGTAAAACAAAACTACTGAAAACTGTTATCATAACAATTAATAAAAAATTCATTGATAAACATAAAGAAAATTACAACAATTTCAAATGGCACACCAGGCAAGCACTTATCACATTATGTGCCTATATTTAAAATATAATGCAATCACTCATTGATGCTTTAGTAACCTAGGAGCAATGTCAGTTATTTTAAACTTATTTCAGAGTCAGTTCATCACAATAACTTTCCCATTGTAACACAGGTGTTGGTTGTGCAACCACTACACACTTTACAATTTGGATTTCGTGTCCCCAACCTTGGATAACTCTGCGAGAGGTCCTTCATACTTTTCACCTGTAATGCATGGTGAATAGGCAATGTTTATTTAAAATGCGACACGTGCATATTTATTAATCATTCCTTTTAAAATATGTATTTATATAACATTTAACATTTAACATAAACAATATATATATATATAATTAATATATTCTACACACATACTCATCCTGACTATATGTATTTACATGCATAAACAAGTATTTTTTGTATTCAATGTATTGGAATTGAATTTTAATTATGGTAACAACGAGAATAAAGGTCCCGCAATCTGCAGTAATAAGCCAATCGTGATAAAGACCCACCCTTGCTAATGGTATGCAATGCTCTAGATTTAAAACCAATATGTTTGCCAGAGTTGAGCGGTGGCAGCACCTCTCACACAGTAGTTAAAATCGATCATAGTGGGTGCACTAAACTATCATAACTGCTAAAACTATTAACCTAACTCCAATATTTTCTCTGCAATTGGTTTTCTGTTTAAGCCTTATCCATATATATTGATAACTACACTTTATTTCACTAGGTTGTTTATAACTTGTGATAGAAACATCAAAAGAAACACAAAAACTAACCTATAAGGAAGGCCAACAATTCAAAACGATCACTGCCAAAGAAAATATGTGGCTCGTCATCTTTGTGCACTATCATTATAGGTGATCCAAATGCCTGTATCAAAAAATGCATAGATAATGTTTGATGGCACACGACAGTGTGGTACAAATGACTCACGTACCATTTGAACAGAGTGTAAAGCCGTAGGGCCCACTCTCTCTGATAAGCCGTAAGCGTAGCCGGTAGCCACTCGGATCGCAATCATTCATTGGTTTTACATTGTGCTGCCATCTTGTGGAGGAGTTGATATTATTTATCCCAATTTTCCACACAAGAAATTGGGCGCTACAGGATTTGCTTTGTTTTCAACTGACACTATACTTCATTATGAAACCATATGAAAGCGTAAGAGTTATACTACGCTCTCACCGGAATGTCAATAATGTTAATGCTAATCTATAATTTTCAATACAAACCCCATGTGACAAAGCCTGACTGGTGGTAGCCTTCAATTTATCTTTGACATTTTGGTCCTTTAGGGTTCCAAGTAGTTTATTCAATGTTGCCTCATCAAGCCCAGCCATCTTGCCTGCCTGCAGTTAAACACACGGGTCACATAAACATATTTCTGATGAAATTAATGATGCATTTATTTTACATCACTCGAAAATTAATGTCACTAACCTCCCAAGTCCTCTCAATTCTTCCATATAATCCGACACTCATAGTTATCCACATCAAGACCATGAAAAATACAGAACACTGACGGGGACTATATGAGTTGACCAGTGGCAACAACTGACGTTCACTAACAGATAAATATTGCTAGCCACACAAGAGTAAGCTATCACTGCCAGTTTCCTCGCTTTTTTTTTTTTTACATTTTAAGGCCAGTATTTGAATAGCTACTACCAGGTGTCGGCGTATGCCCATGATGTAACACGTGTTCACAATTGATCTCATTAACTCACCACAGTGATGACAGCTGAGCTAGAGTCCCGCTCACCTGTCTTAAACTTTCCAGCTCCGTGATGTCCTCGTCACGGTTCCACACCCTGAGCCACAGCTGGCGTGAGACCTCCTCTAGCAGCGATGGCTGAGACATCTCGACAGACGCTAGGAACCTCTGCGCTTGCAGGGAGCCTTTCTGTATGATCGTGCCCATGAAGTCCTGCAAAAACATTTACACTCCGTCATCGTGTCCCAGCAGAAGAGTCGACAGTAGAATATAATATAAAGAATAGTTCAGCAGAATGATTCACAAAGCAACTTATGTAGATCTCAGTGCTTGAAATTATAATTTCAAGTGCATGGTTACATAGAAAACACAGAAATATGACATTTTCCTTGCACTGCCATGAATGAATTCACATCTTATGAATATATAACTCACAGATGGTTGTCTAATAGGTGTACATGTGAAGTCTCTCAGTCTCTCCAGATCCTTCAGCATGTACATGCCTTTATTTGCCACCATTGCAGGTGGCTGGTTGCCTAAAATTGTTCAAGCTGAATCATGTGCACTCAATTACTAAAGTACTCACTTTTATCAAATGTATCATTACAAGCACACATTTGTGCAAATAACAATTTGTTAGTAAACTATATATAACCAACTTTGGTACTAAAAGTACAAAATGCAGCAGGTATGACTTATATTGTTATTACATATGGTCCATGCCAATGTAGTGCCCATAAATTCATTTCCATAAAGGTTTTGTTATACCGTTTTATGTACCCTATCAAAAACAATACCACACAGCTACAAGAAGGCACTAACTAAATAATGAAACAATTACAAATTTAGATATATTTTAAAGCTCCAATTTGTTATAATGCATCTAAAATTGCCACATGGGCATCAAATAGAAGATAAAACAAGATTTACCAGAGCAAAATATATTGTAGATCTGGACATGACATTGCATTAATCGAGAAAGTAAGGTGGACTGCGTGTAGCAAAAATAACTAGAAATGGCAGTTGTCGCCAACTACATGTATCCCCCGCGATCTAGTATAAATGAAATATCTCCGTAAGGACGTACAAGGTAGGTAAAGTGAAATAAGTCACAAAGACAAAGGTTTGTTGCACAACTCATCTGCCTGAGATGTGCAAGTATGTCAAATTTGGTTACCTTAGGGGTTTTGGTACACGACACACCTTCTCCCCAAGATGTGTAAGTATACCAAGTTCGGTCGCGCTAGATCAATTAGGGGCCGAGTTATATAGCGGAAGGGAAATATGATCAAGGTCAATGTCAAGGTCAAATAAAGGTCGCAGTGACCTGGTTTTGGTACGCGACACACCTTCTCCCCAAGATGTGTAAGTTACCAAGTTTGGTCGCGCTACATCAATTAGGGGCCGAGTTATAGAACGGAAGGGAAATAAAATCAAGGTCAATGTCAAGTTCAAATAAAGGTCTCAGTGACCTGGTTTTGGTACGCGACACACCTTCTCCCCAAGATGTGTAAGTATACCAAGTTTGGTCGCGCTAGCCCAATTAGGGGCCGAGTTACAAAGTGGAAGGGAAAGTGTCTGCGGCGGCGGCGAGCGGCCGCTGGACAGACATGAAACCAGTATCCCCGCCGACTTCGTCGCGAAATATACAATACAATTACCAACATCGTTTTCATAACGTGAAAGAAATGAAAGTTTACCTGATGCAGCCATGACACCACCGAGCAAAAAAGGGCGTAGTTTCACATCAATGTTCCATTTGCTTTGGTACCTTGTCAAAACCTGTTTGACAAAATAAGGTTTGTGATGACATTGGTATGACTAGCAATATATGTAGCTATTTAAGGTGACAGATAGACCACGACCATTAGGTAATTTATTATTATTAGATTATAACCATTAGAATAATATTTCCAGGAAGTATTTGCGTAGGCCTACTGTTAGCGTGCTCAGTCGCATCGCTCGATGTGTATCTGTACGCTGAAACTCTGTCTGACAGAGTTTTCAAAATAGTCAACTTTGCAGCACATTTCTGCCGGCTCAATAAGAACATTTCGTGATGTTTGCATACTGCAAGTATGCTCACAGTAGGTGTATGTAGGCTTTTTGTTGCAAGGTTTATCCATTTTAAAGACGCCCATGCACGCATATGTTGTAAAGGTTGCCCTTCAACGAACAGGCATGAACGACAGGCCTCTGCCGCCATCGTCGTCATTGTCTTTATCATCATCATCCATCATCATCATCATCATCATCGAATGCAAAATGAAACTTTCTGGCATTATCAATATGATGACCCTCAACTATATACAGTCTGCAATCCTAACCAAACCTAACTCTCGTAGTTTATCGACGATTGCGCCACATGTCAAATGCTGAAAGCAGCTTTAAAATATGGATGGATTGCATCCTCGGTGCATGACACACGCACACACACTCACGCGCGCACGCACGCACACACACACACACACACATATATATACAGTGTTCGAAATAAGAAAAAAAAATTGCTTGTCCAATGGACAAGCTACAACATATTTTGGCTTGTCCTGCACTAGTGCTAGCTATACTAAGCCATAGTAGAGGAAGGGAAGCAATCCTGGGCACCAATTGCAAAGTGTTTAATGTTAAAGTGTTTTATTCTAACCACACAGTAATAAAATGGGGAAATAATGCACCATAGCTGCCCATGTGTATTGTCAACATTTCGGGTGACGTCAAGCGCGTACGCGACAGCATTTCTAGGGACAGTGATTTTCCGTTTCAAAAAATTGCCTTTTCCGTTTGGGAAAATCATGAATTCCGTTTCAAAGTAAAGAAAAAATGGAAATTCCGTTTTGCCATAGAGATTGTACACACCAAAAATACAATATTCTGTTTACATATATTTGCATGAAAAAAAAGTATTTGGTCACTGACTGACAGTTGGGTTGGCACCGAAACACAGGGCTACTAAAAGACGTAATTGTAAGTCATTTTGCTCTGAAACTTGTCTTTGAATTTGTTTTTTTAATGATTTTATTGAAATTTCCATGTTGTAATATGTTCAAATTACGTTTTCCGCATTTTTCCGTTTGAAACATCTTTTCCGTTTCCAATGGCCGTTTCCATGTTTTCCGTCCGTTTTCCGCAATCGCGGAAAATCACTGTCCCTACATTTCAATCGAAGCACAAGTGGGGCTAGCACTGTGAGGAATAAATGCATAAATACTTGGTGTAAAGTTGTGGAAACTGTTCAAAACGATAGGTGAATGGTCCATATAGATAAATAAGTGTTAAAAAGCCCGATCATTTTGCGTTTTGTCAGCCATTTTTCGTGGGAGCAGTGGGAGCAGAAAAAGCGGCAGGATTCAACATAGAATGTTCTATAGCCCTGCGGCAGAGCGAAGGGCTATATATAGTACTAGAGCTACAGCCGTACAGGAGGTTATACAACCATTCCCTGTTCCTCAGACTTTAAGCCCGCCGCACACGCTGTGGAACTTGCTGTGCCATCGTCCACATGTGGAAAGTGGCGCAACAAGTTCCACAGCGTGGGGATGCAAAATCCCTCGATCTGGGTCGTGTGGAAAATATCATACGTTTGATATTTTCTTCCACGTGTGGAAGTTTGAACAGCATGTGCGGAGCCTTCCACACCCAATTCGCATTGTTCGCTTGGACACGGAGCGTCGTTGAAGAGAGCTTTCACACGACGTTTGATTGATCAGTTCTTGGATATGCCTCGAGCGAGCGCTTCGCTCTTATACTCTTCTTGAAACTTGAGCCTTCAAGGGCCTGTGCTCTATCAGTATCAGTATCATCTATGCGATCTGCCTGATATGCGAGCTGAAAAAAAATAGTGCGTCCAAGCGAACAATGCGAATTGGGTGTGGAAGGCTCCGCACACGCTGTTCAAACTTCCACACGTGGAAGAAATTATCAATCACGTGTGATATTTTCCACACGACCCAGATCGAGGGATTTTGCATCCGCACACGCTGTGGAACTTGCTGCGCCACTTTCCACATGTGGACGATGCCGATGGCACAACAAGTTCCACAGCGTGTGCGGCGGGCTTTAAGTAATGCAAACTATATATGAATTCAATCTATTATTAAGCAGAAAATAATAACAATAACTATGATAGAGGATCACTATAATACAATATAATACCTCGAAAGCTATCCATGAATATGGTGAAAGTACATCATAAAACAGCTCGATTTTCGTCTTGCAAAGAGCTTTAGCCGCCATGATAGCGCACCTGATGCGCCTTTTTAAAATGAATTTGCTATTGGCTGACAGATAGCTATGCATGTGGGGACACGGTGGGAAATCATTTCCCATTGGCGGCCATACTTAAGACAAAATTCCCGCAAATCAGCAGGTAATCCCGTAATCAGCTCAATAATCAGGAGCTTTTTTGAGAAATCACAATGCCACCCTCTGAATTGACGACGAACATATATGTTGTTAACTTTAATTTTCCAAAATTTCTTCCGTAAACATGCTTTTCCCGGCACACACACGAAATGACCACTTTGCAATGTGATTTTACGCGAAAAAGATGGCTTGCTTTGAAAATTCCCCATCTGTCCCAGCAGTGCAACCGGACGAGCCACACACACTGTCGGATACAGCGAGGATTCTAGTTTCTGAAATTAACAATATCATAGAGTTCTAACCATTTTCATTATGAAATCGCGCCCTCGCTACTTCAATGTCGCTGTAATGCTCTGGGTCAGGTCCCATCAATACTAATGTACGTCGGCGATTTGTCGCCAAAGGAAATGACGTAGGGCCGACATTAAGCATGTACAGTGTGGGCAGTGTGACATGCCTCCAGAGAGGATGTACGCATTTGTAAATTGCACCCTCGCTACTTCAATGCGGTGACACTGCTCTGCCGAAGGTCCCTGGCTATATAGGGTTACCAATGTGCAGGGTCAGAGCGCGGACACTTCGGCGACTTGTCGCGCAAAGAAAATGACTTAGGGCCAACGTTAAGCATTTAATCTAGAGTGTAGCACGCCTAGAAGAAGAGTGCATCAAAAAATGCACCCTCGCTACTTCAATGTAGTGGCACTGCTCTGCCGAAGGTCCCTGGCCTTACCCCGCAGGGATAGGGCACGTACACGGCGGCGACATGTCGCCCAAACGAAATTACGTAGGGCCGACGTTAAGCATTTAATCGGGAGTGTGGCACGTTTACAGAATGTGCGCATCGCAAATTGCACCGTCGCTACTTCAATATGGTGGCATTGCTCTGTGGAAGGTCCCTTGCTATACCAATGTGCATGGATAGAGCCAAGAGTAGATAATAAACATCTTTATGGTTATCTTAACATGTTTATTATCTACTCTTGATAGAGCGGGGACACGTCGGCGACCTATCGCCCAAATGAAATTACGTAGGGACGACGTGACGTTACGTGACGTTACGTGGCATTTAATCTGGAGCGTGGCACGCCGACAGAAACGAAAATTGCACCGTCGCTACTTCAATATGGTGGCATTGCTCTGCCGAAGGTCCCTTGCACAATGTACACCCTTGTCCAATGTATACATGCATGTGTGCATGCCTTTTCCCATGTCTCCATCTTAATGCCAAAACGCCGTACTACACATGGATAGAACGGGGACACGTAGGCGACCTGTCGCCCAAAGATAATGACGTAGGGCCGAGTTAAGCATTTTAATCGTTTATTTATACCTCGTTTTAATCTTTAAAACGAGGTATAATTGGATATTTACTTTGTCTCCTCTCCATGTCTTTTCACTTGTCTCCTCTCCATGTCTTTCACTTGTCTCTCTGTCTATGGGTATCAATTTATCTGCGCGTATTGGCTCGTGGCTGTGTGTGTGGTAGTTGTGTGTGTGTCGCTGTGCGCAGCGATGCGTGTGTGTGTGTGCTGGTGTGTGTGGGTGTGTGTGTGTGGCTGTGTGTGTGAGTATGTGTGTGGTGTGTGTGTGTGTGTGTGTTGTGTGTGTGTGGCTGTGTGGTGGTGTGTGCGCGCGCGCCGTGTGTGTAGTGTGGGTGTGGGGTGTTGTGTGTGTAGTTGTGTGTGTGTGTGTGTGTGTGTGGTTGTGTGTGTGCGCGTGTGTGTGAGCGCGCGTGTGTGTGTGCATGTGTATGTGTGTATGTGTGTGTGTGTGTGTGTGTGTGTGTGTGTGTGTGTGTGTGTGTGTGTGTGTACGCGCGCACTGTGTGCTCGTTTGGTGTTGGCTTGAATGCGTCAGTTTAAAAAAATTCTCATCAGTTATTTAGTTTCTCATGACGATGCTATTGTCGTTATCCACGTAACTGATTAGTGATTGATGCACGAATACAAGACACACCATACAAATACGATTTCCGCCAGCGCTACCGATTCAACGCGTTGCTAGGCACATGCACATGCATGCAACATTTTGTTCTGCAGGCGTACTGCATTAGCATTCAGTATCTCGGCGAAACTCATTCGTAGTTGGATGAGAGTAGCTTAGAGCTTCAGTCATGTTTCCGTATTCTCCAGCTTCACGTCTGTGCGTGATGCTGCTTATCCTTGTGATAAGCGAACCCGGTGCGACCCTCGTGAATTCATGTGATGGTGTGCCGGTGCTATTCAGGGTGTGGCGCACGAACGCTGTGCCGGCGCTGGCCAGGGTGATCGCCAGAAGAAACGTAACGAGCGTGGTGGGGTGCTCCACACTCTGTGCTAACAAGGGCAACTGTGGCAGCTTTAGCGTCAACGACTCGTCCAGGCAATGTGGCCCGCGAAGCTGCGAGCTCCGTGTAACAGCGCCCGACCCGCGCCTCCAAAGATCGGCAGGCATCACCAGTTACAAACAAGGTATAGCAGTCACGACGATATAGTGATCCCACAGTGGGAACACATCGCGCGGGTACGACCCGGATAAAACTTTGGTGAATTATCAAGAAAATAATTAGCGTAAACTAATATTTGACAATATATTAGTGAAATCATGTACACCGTTTATAACAGGCCAAAAAACTCATCGGCATATATTTAAACATCTAATGTCGTCGTCCGTGTTAGTGGTTCTATGTTTTTAATTAATCTCAGACGCATACTGGCAACATATCGGAGGTGGCTTGCTTGATGTCAGTGTCGGACAAGCCGGAGTGTGGGGATGTGATCCGTCAGGCATTGTCTACTACAAAATAAACACCAGAGTAAGTGAGTAATTACCACATGCATCGTATGTATTCATATATCAGTGTAAAATGTGTAGTATCATGCATGCCACAGTCGTGGCCGTCCACTTTGATGTATATATACATATATTTATTTATTTATTTATTTAGGGGGTATCTCAGCATAGATTTCTGTAATACATTTTTATCAGTAGACCTGTGTTTATAATTAGGAGAGCGCCCTAGCCTGTAGGGTACAAAACACCTACTTTATGCCCTCGCGTCCTTCCCCTCGCGTCCTTCCCCTTGCCTCCCTTGTTCCTCGCTCAGCCTCCTTCTTCTTCTACCGCCCCTGAGCTATCTTTCCTGCCGCCTTTCCTCAGTCTCCCACCCCCTTTCCCCCTCAGCAAGCTATATTATGAAGTTGTCTTCAGTCAATAGTGCACGCCTGAAACAGTGGTCGCGCATGCGCAATATCTCCCGAGAAGAATAATATTTTGCAAAGATTATGCATTTAAAATGAAGAGGATTATCCTAGCATAGATTTATATGATAATATTCCATCAGTAGACATCACTTAAGAAATAGGAGGAAGACCTTGCATGTAAGGTGCCCGCTGCGTATACCAGGCAGTACACAATCTGGCTACGTTAGTGTGTTAGCGCATGCGCAATATCTCACCAGAGCAGTCATATTTTGTGATGAAGATAAATTTAATATGCTTAGGGGGTATCTAAGCATAGATTTCTCTAATAAATTGTTATCCGTAGATCTGTGTTTATAATGAGGAGAGCGCCCTAGCCTGTAGGGAACAAAACACCTACTTTATGCCCTCGCGTTCTTCCCCTTGCCTCCCCTGTCCCTCGCTCAGCCCTTCTTCTTCTTCTACCGCCGCCAGCTATCTTGCCTGCCGCCTTTCCTTAGTCTCCCACTCCCTTTCTTCCTCAGCAAGCTATATTATGAAGTTGTCTTCAGTCCGTGTTGCACACCTGAAACGGTGGTCGCGCATGCGCAATATCTCGCGAGAAGAATAATATTTTGCAAAGATTATGCATTTAAAATGAAGAGGAGTTATCCTAGCAGAGATTTATATAATAATATTTCATCAGTAGACATCACTTAAGAAATAGGAGGAAGACCTTGCATGTAAAGTCCCCGCTGCATATTCTAGCCAGTACACAATCTTGCTACGTTAGTGTGAATCGCATGCGCAATATCTGACCAGAGGAGTTATATT